TTAGAATTCCCCCAAAACCCCAAAACCCCGAGCTGTAGGATTGATTGATAAAATTTTCTCTTGCCAAATGAAATATTTAGTATAATTCAAATTTTATTACTATCTCTATAATTATGAATACAAATTCTAATATGTCAGGAGTAGGAGGAAATTAAGATAAGAAAAAAGCTTCAAATAATGACCCTGAGTGTCGACTTGAATACGTTGTAAGTTTCACTTTGAGAATTCAAATTTAATAATTCAAGCCTGATACCCTATATAATTTGCAATAAAAAATAATAAATGAATTTTAGTGCGAATCTCTAGGAATAAACAAAGGTGCATTGCATTAGGTAACAGATATTGATTTCGTATTGGATGATATTTGCAGAATGGATTTCCTATCATATTTTACTAATATCAAGACTCTCACGTTAATTAACCAAGGTATTTCCGAGATCGAGGTATTTTATAAGACATTAATTCCAATTTTAATATTTAGGGCCTCGATAAAATGGTATCATTAGAATCAATGTGGCTTAATGAAAATCTAATAGAAAATATCAAAGGACTTGATAAACTTAGAAGCCTTAAAGAACTTTTCCTAGGTAGTAATAAAATAAGGAGAGTGAGAGGTCTTGACAACCTAATTAACCTTGAAAAACTTTGGCTTGATGAAAATAGAATTGAATCCTTGGAAAACAGCATGCAAAACTTGGTCAAGCTGAGAGAGCTCAACGTTGCAGGAAATAAAATTGAAACTATTGGCATGACCCTTGATGGCTTAATATCTCTTGAAGAGCTAAATATAGCAAATAATAAAGTCGGGAATTTCAAAGAAGTACTTAATCTTAATAGATTACCAAACCTCAAAATTTGCACATTCCAAGATCCACATTATGGTGATAATCCTATTTGTAATTTGTGCAATTATCAGACTTTTGTGCTCTATCATTAACCAAACTTGCAAAAGCTTGACACACTTTAAATATCTGATGATGCAAAAGCATTTGCAGATGCCACTTTTATGAAAAAGAGGATGTATTATAATATGAGAATTAAGACCATTCAAAGGAATGCTTCAAATATTATGAAACTATTAAAAATTTGCAAAAAAATCAGAAACTTTAAAATTGATATATAAGTCACTAAACTTACCAAAAAGATAAATGAAATCACCAGGGAAATCGAAGAAAGATAATACTTAAGTGCCTAAGGCCCTGGTGTTAAAGATTAGTTTGAATCAGTGTTTACTTATGGTGTCACTAATTCTAAGAAAAATCCATTAGATGATATCGAAAATGAAAAACTTATTACTGATTTAGAAGGGAAGAAGGCTTTAATGATGGGGAGGATCCATGATAAGAATGAAGATCTCAAGGATTTAGATGCTATATACGAATCCCTAAGGAAGAAGATGTATGAAATACCAGAATAGAATATTCATAGATTGCTGACAGAACTTGAAACAGGAGGAAATATCAGGTTTGAGGAGGGAAAGCCGACTGATAAATGGTTTCAATCTTGTAACGAATTAGCCAAAGGAAGATTTAATCCAGAATAAATGAAGTTCTTCGGTATCACTGGAATCAATGTAACAAGAGTAACTAGAATCCACAATAGGTTCCTAAGAAACAGATTTGAGGAAAAGCTTGAATAGTTAGTAGACCTATCAGACATTTCTTATAAGAGAAGCCTTGAGTATTTATTCTATGGTCTGGATCCACACTTGCCAAATGAGATGCAAAGAGCAATGGAGGAAGGATTTAGAACACCATAGGAATATTAGCAAGAGTGTGGTCTTCCTCTTTGCGTTTCTCTTGTCAATTCTATAGCATCAGCCGAGATTGCTCGTATTAATTCATTCTTTTAAGCTGAAGATGGATATGCTCATATTAGAACAGCCGCAAAGGCTCAGAAATAAACCTAATTTAGAATGAGCAGTGAATTGACCTTACAAAAAGGTCTTGTCTAAATACCTTCTGGTTAAGTGCTAGTTTGCAAAGTATTCCTATCTAAATGTGTGCCTGACAGCAACTATCCCTATTTTAATCCAAGTCATTCACCTAGTGAGATATGGAGATATGCACCAGTTGATGTAAAGTAATATACGGGCATGCAGAGTATTTACAGAACAAAAGAGAATGATTAAAGGTAAAGAATGTGGTTTGTCCTAGATAATGCCTTAATTCTTCCTGAATACTTGGTGGAATTTGAATATACCACAAATATCAAAACTGGTGGCCCAAACGATTCAAAAATCGGATTAGATACAGTTGAAACACTTAACGAGGATTGCAATAAATTGTTAAACGCCGTCAATGGTGCTTAGAAAGTATTAGAAAATACTTATATCAGGCATGCCTAGAGAGAGGCATCGAGATCATTGAATTTGCATCTTACATCACTAGACTTGGATCGATCTGATATGGGATGTCTCAAAAAGACTTTAGTTAATTTCATGAGATCTTGCCATATTGAGGAGCTAATGCAAAATGCGTTTTAATTTTTAGATGACGAGGCTTAAAACTCAGCACAGCTTGCTATTGAAAATTCAATGCCTCCCGAAATTCCTATCAGAAGTAAAATTGATGAGATCACAGAATATATAACTTAAAATATCAGTCGGGAAAAAGATTTCACTCAAATAGTATACTTGAATTTGTTCAGTAATAGAATCAAGAAGATCAAATGCCTAGAAAAGCTTGTGAATCTCAATACACTAATTTTATCTTTCAATGAGATAGAGGTAATTGAAGGACTTCAAGAATGCAAGATACTGAAGAGATTAGATCTCAATCACAATTTTATCAGAAGGATTGAAAATTTAGAGAACAAGTAGAATCTTTAGATCCTCAATCTAACTAATAACTGGATTTCAGATATGAACCAAATTGAGCATCTCAGAATCAATTGCCCCTCAATTAAAGAGCTCTCCCTTAAATGCAATCCTATTGCTGCTAAGAAAAGCTATAGGTCAGTTGTCTTTTGTAGAATGCCAACCAACTTGATTAAGCTAGATGGAATAGCATAAACTGATAAGGATAAAGAGAGGGTCAGATAAGAACTCTAGACTGTTACTAGAGAGTTGATCTTTGAAAATGTAAGAGCATAAATCAAGACTGATGGTACTAATGTAACGGTGACTTCAGCCTCTAGCAACAGTGATTAAGGAAAAAAGACAATATCAACTTAAAAATCAACAATTGCAGAATCGGAAGAACCATAGTAAAACATCATTGAATGGGAAAGAAATATAGAAACTCTCATTCTAGGCCACAAGTAACTCTAGAAGATAGAAAACTTAGAGCCTTTTATAAATCTTAGAAAGCTCTAGCTAATAGATAATTGCATCCTCAAGATAGAGGGACTTGGTAAATGCAAGCTATTAGAAGAGCTATCTCTCGAAAAGAATAAGATTTAATATATAGAAAACATTTCACATCTTAGATACCTAAAGAAACTTGATCTTGGATGTAATAGGATAAGAAGAATAGATGGGTTATCACAGTTAGAAAATCTAACATAACTATCAATGGAAGACAATGAAATAGCAAATCTAGATGGATTGGACCAATTACAAACTCTCATGGAGCTATATCTCGGAAATAATCTCATAAATGACATTAAAGAGATAGTCAAGCTAAAATAGTTAGGTAGATTGATTATCCTTGATATTAGCGGAAATTTGTTGAGTAGAGACACTAACTACAGAATCTATTGCATCTTCCATTTAAGGAAACTAAAAGTGCTTGATGGTATATCAGTAGAATCAAACGAGCATATGGATGCTAAGGAAACATTTGCTGGTAGATTAACGGAGGAAATTCTTGAATCAAGAATAGGGGGAAGAAAGTTATAGGACTTAAAAGAACTCGATCTTTCCTCTTGCAGATTAAGAGATTTCGATAATATGTTTGATGAGAGTTTATACCCTTAACTTAGAGAGCTTAATCTCTCGCATAACAGTCTGGTTACTTTAAGAGGTTTCGGCTATCTTCCTAAACTAAGGATACTCAAAATTAAGGCAAATAGGCTTGAGACACTGTTCTGTAAGCCAAATGAAGATGGATATCCAAAGGGTCTCTTTGGTTTACCAGTAATATTTCTCCTTCTTTAACTATATAGGGACTTGAAGTTTTGGATGTCAGTTACAATAATCTTCACGATCTTTATGGGTTACAGTACTCACCCCTTAAAGATTTAAAAATTCTGAATGTTTCTAATAATGACATAGTAAAAGTAGATTTCCTAGAAAAACTAAAATCCCTTAGAGAGTTAGACTTAAGCAAAAATAGAATCAGATAAATCGATTAGTAAGCAAATAAATCTTTAACTTTTCAGAAACTCATTTTAGAATTTCCATTTGATCACTTGCCTCAGACTTGAAGATAATGGCTTAAGGAATCTTTAAAATGTTGAGAAACTCGAAAGACTTCAGTCTTTATTCGTAAGTGGAAATAGATTAGCTGAATTCTGGGAAGTTGATAGATTATCCGAATTGCCTCATTTAATGGAAATAGCTCTATTAAATAATCCCATGACTAGAAAGCCTAACTATAGAACAGCAATAATTAAGAGACTGCCAGCACTTATCATTTTAGATGGCAAAGAAATATCTCCTGAGGAGAGACAGAGAATCGAATAATCAGGAGGGATGATTGGAGTCTCTGGCATTACAACTGATGGGTAAAAAGCACCTCCTATGATTCACTTTGCTTAATACCCAACAGTTAAGGTACCGGTTAAGCTTAATGCAGTCAATTTTGATGGTGTTTTCAATAATATGAAAGTTTTTTCACCCGATTAAGGTCCAACCACTTAATAGTAATTAACTTAATAGCAAATAATGATTAACCAAAAGAATCAAATGATTGGAGGCACTGGTATAATCGGCTAGGGAATAGGAGGCATAAGTGGAGTGGGCATAGGCTAGAATATCATGGGTAGTGAAATGGGTAATCTGATATAAATTAACAGCTTTGGCGCCGATCTCAGTCAGCCTATGAGTGGCCTTGCAATGTAAGATAAGGGTAATAACCAAAATACTAGACGACCAAGTACAAAAACTAATGCCTCTGGAACAACAGTGGTAGGGTCATCATAGTCTTCCATTACTTAAAAGGATAATAAATCTACAGCTAACTCCTAAAATGCAGCGAAAACTACTTAATGTAAGTATATTTATTCTCAGCTTAATTTTTACACAGATAGCATGGGAGGTGGAGTAAAGCCACCACAAGCCCAAAGATAACAAAGGTATTGATTTTAAAGAATCTAAATTAGAGCTTATCTGCTCACATATATATTTAATTATATACATCATAATTGTCCAATCTTTTAATTAAAATCTATTTAAACAGCAAGGGGTTTTGGGGTTTTGGGGTTTTGGGG